AACCCTGGGTGAACAGGGCGGACGCAGGTGATAATTTCGGAACTTTCGCCCGTTCTTAGCATAAAAAACTTAATCTTTCATGTTTTTAAGTCCGCCATATTGGATTTAAGGTAACGTCACTATCTACTGAAAAGGAAAACAAAGATAAACAAATAATTGATTTGAAATAATGCAAAGCAGACACTTAGCTTCATGATAACCTATATTTCGCACTTTTAGTGGGTGAATATTAACGACTTTTTTTTTATATGTGGCTTCGCACGGCTTGTGCATTGTCAAGTGGTAAAATTTTTACAAATACTATAGCACTCGTGGTCAAAGTAATAAATCAAGTCAAAGTAAGTGGCAGTCAAGTCAATCCCCCTTTCCCTATGTTTCAGAAAAAGTGTGGGGATTTACTGGAACCTCCCCGTGGACTTCTTGAGGGAACGTCCAAAGACACTTTTCGCTATTTTGTTTCACTTGCCAACATTACTAGAAACTAACATCCGCCACAACACAATTTTTAACATGAAAAACAAAACTGCTAAAGTGATCCCGCCAAAAAGGCCTAATAACGACTTATCAACATAAAATATATAAAAACAGAAAAAGTGCGATACAGACCAGCGCACGAAGTGTTCCCTACCATTATCTCTATACAACATTAGCTAGCCTATTAATGTTCGCAGTGCTAGGGCACAGTCCTTCCCTATGGATGGAATAGGGAGATTGAGCCATGACCCACCACGCGAGCCTAGTGCGGATTGGCGGGTGCTAACGACTGCAGATGCAGCCGGGATATACGGCTTAACGTGCCTTCCGAAGCACGGAGGAGCTCGAGATAATAAATTTTGGGTCACTCATCCAATGGCCGACCACTGCGAAAGTTCCTTTACTTTGACGACCGCAACCGAACGCGCTAACCACTTGTGCCATCGAGCTCCTTGATTACTACTATATTATACGAGTATTTTATAATATCAAGAAAAAACAAGAAAAATCCACGTCTTTTGTATGAGAGTCCCATAAAATATTTAATTTATTCCGTTTTTTTAGTACATCATCTGTGAAAATTTCAACTATCTAGCTATGACGGTTCATGAGATACAGCCTGGTGACAGGCAGACAGGCAGAGAGTGAAGTCTTAGTAATGGGGTCCCGTTTTTAGCCTTTGAGTACGGGACCACAATAATGGAAGTTATGTTTTGTTTGTAAACTCACAAGCCTACTGAATTGCGATTTAAACGCGAACGAATGATTGCTAACAATTCTTAAAACTATGTATGGAGTTCCGTAGTAATTCTATGAGACACCCTTTGGTTACGGAACCCTACAAATGATTAAATTCTATAGTATTGAGGTATTGATATACAATAAACAATTCATGTTGGGATATGTCACTTAAAGTAACTTAGTCCCAAGCTAATTATTTAAAGCAGCTGAGCTATGCTTACAAAATAAATGTCATCATTTAACCACATGGAAAGTAACTTTTAAAGTGTTGTGCTTTAAATAAAATTATTGAAGTTTTGGTGGAATATATTTTATGTCTTTGAGTTATTTAAAAGTAGTTTAATACAAGTAGTATGAGTATTATAAAGTTTTTTATTGTATTCCAATATTTATAATCGGAATTGTAATGCACGTTCAATTAAAGTTGTTTATTTATTTCATTTGACATTGTGGGTTACCTACAATGCGAAGAGATGGCGCTGCCTTGCAACTTAAGAATAGCTAGAGGAATTTCGACGCGCCCATCAGGGCCGCTGTAGCATAATTGGTCAGTGCAGTCGCCCGGATAGCGAAGGGTGCGGGTTCGAGTCCGTCTGTTGCCTGGCCCGCGTGGAATTTTTTTAGTTATGTTTTGATAAATACGATTTGATTTGAGTATTGAAACCATAATGTTAATAATTCAAGAAATGTTATAAGAATTATAAAATTCAAAATTCAATATCGTTTATTCAGTCTAGGCTGTTACAAGCACTTGTGAATGTCGAAAAGCTACGCCATCGGTTCGCAAATCTACGGCGGGAGACCTTGTACTGAGAAGAACCGGCAAGAAACTCAGCAAGGGCTGTTTTTTTCTCCCTGTATTATATACAGAGTCGTCAATTTGAAAAATGAGTTCAATATGAGATAACCCATGAAGTCACTTTCCATTACAAATGTAAATGATAAAACAATTATGACTATAAAATAAAAAATATAAAAAACAGATTTAAAAATGAAAAAAAAAAGTTTAGGAATGCCGTGTCCCACTGTTTAGGCATAAAAACAAATGTACCATTAAAGTAAAATACAACGATTAATAGTACCCAATGTAGCAAGAGCAGACTCATCTCCGCTGGCAGCACCCGTTCACAAGCATGACGCATGAACCAGCCATCGCTTCGCTCAACCATTTTTTAGGGAACGTAACGACCCGCCTCACACGACACCGCCGAAGAGATTTTTAAGAGAGTATGACTACCCATAACCATATATGGATACTAGATAGCAAAATAGGGGAAAAAAAAATTAAGTACCAGTGTACATTACTATAAAAAACTATAAACACAACTGTAGGACACATGCATGTGGTTACCTAAACACTAGTGTCGACTCTGCCACTACCCTCCAAACCCAAAACCAAACCCAACATCAGTGCCCCCCCTTCACTCTGTATAGAGAATGACAAGGATATACCGCTGCAAAACCAAAGTTCAGGTCTAGAGAACCATGCCAGAATCCACACCTCCACACATACACACATCCACACCATATACATATATATATATATATATATATCTGTTATAGTGTAATATGTTTTAAATAAACAAATAAAAGCGAGGGATAGTGTAACAAGGGGCACAGTGTAACATAAGAAATATCTCTGCCTTATTTTTCTTTTTGTCTACGATATCCAATACTGAGTTTAGATCATAAACTGAATGTTATGAAAATTATAAGTACAGTATAAGTAGGTATTAATATATTTAACATTATGAGTCCGAAAACTATATTTGTGATCATCAGAAAAAGAGATTTCCTCGACAGGATTCGAACCCAACACCTATGATCAACATCAGCCTTTTAATGTCCGCACTGCTGGGGCACAGGCCTTCCCTATGGATGAAACAGGGAGATTGAGCCATGATCCACCACGCGGGCCCAATGTGGATTCGCAGGTGCTAACGACTGCAGATGCAGCCATGATAAACGGCTTAACGTGCCTTCCGAAGCAAGGAGGAGATCGAGATACTAAATTTTTGGTCACCCATTGAATGACCAACCACTGCGAAAGTTGCTTAACTTCAACGATCGCAGCCGAACGCGCTAACCACCCGCGCCATCGAGCTCCTCATCTATGCTGCAAAACGCAAACGAGAGCTTATAACCAATCAACAATCAATAAAGAAATCATACAAATTAATTTCATATAATAAATTATTAAGGTCAGCATCCTATAATTTTTATGATAGCAATGAGACATTTACAGGAACAAAAAAGCAAGCAATCATGTCGATATCGACTGCACAGTGGTTGACTACCGTACAACAATTAGACTTAAGCGATACGGTTTTTTTATAATAGAAATTAAATATAAAACAAAAATGTAAAATACCTTCTTTAGGTTCAGTTTTAAATACTTTAGTTAATAAATTATATTGACACTTACAATATTAAGAAGAATATAACAAATATAAAGTTCTCTTAAATAAATCTTACTTAGGTAACTATATCGATTCGATCGATGAAATTTATGCCTTACTATAGTAATTGTTTACAGTAATACTTATTAGATAACGATTACTGTGGTAACAATTTATTGAAGTGAACCTTTTACTATATTGAAAATATTTTTTTCGTTCTTTATTAGTATGTTTCATTATGTTTTTGAAAATTGTTGGTGGACGTTATTAATAAGATAAGATAGTATTTAACATTGGTGCAACCGGGATTTGAACCTAACGTCTTTACGTTGCCGATATGAAGAATTTATAACTACAACTCAATAAAGTATAGAGAGACATGGGTAGTAAAACCATAAATTTAACCTATTGAGTAGTACCTAAGCCATTTAAATCCTACTAATATTATAAACGTGAAAGTTTGTATGTTTGTTACTCAATCATGCATAAACTACTGAACGGATTTGGATGAAATTTGGTAGGCATATAGTTTATGATCTGGTCTGAGAGTCAGGATATTTTTTATCTCGGAAAAATATTAGGTTCCTGTGGGATTCTCAAAAAACTAAAGATAACGCGGACGAAGTAGTGGACGGTAGGTAGTTAACTACCTATAATAAAAAAAAAGCAAGAGCTTTTCATCATAATTTAATATTCTCGTTAATCTAGCTTGTACTTAACTAAGAATAACAACTTAGTTTTTTTTTTAAATAAGCTACCGAGGTTTGACTCAGCTATTTCGGTCTACAATTAAGACTTGATAACTAGTTAAAGGTGGGTATAGCTCTAGGATTTCATTTTAGTTCTACGAACGTTCTAATAACATTTTAAATGTATTGGATGTTGCGTAATTGATAAGTAAGTAGGTACCTAATACTTCAACTAAAAAAATAAGAAAGTAAAACATTTACTACTTTATTTAAAGAAATAGTTATGTATTTACTTAAGAATCTATAATAGAATCTTATTAGAAAATATATGAGTAAAATTAAAAATACCTTCTGTCTGGATGACATCAAGAGAGCTAAATTACCCATATGTTATACTGTTATCAAAAATAACATGGTTCTTTTTAATGTACTAAAAGCAACGATATAATATCGTTGACCACAAGCAATCAGATGCTATGAAATATTCATGTCTTAAGTTGACTTGACCTGGGATCGAACCCGGACTTCAAAGGAGCCGGTCTATAGGCACCTACTCTGTGTAGTAGCATCATCAAAGATTAAATCGGTTGTTTATTTTCACCATATCACATAGCCTGTCTCGTAAATAAACTGAGATGCGACAATTAATATCGGTATCTAAAAGAAAGTCCGATAAGATTATGTAAAAACAACCTACCTTCAGGTGCATTATCATTGTTCCTCTCGCTGCTCGTGACATCAGAAAAAGTCTGCATGCGACGGAAACAAACGGAGAAAAAAAAACAAAAATAAAAATTTAAAAACAACAAAAAAAAACTAGTGCAGATAAACACGTTCGTATGTCCGATCACATAGACTCTTTGGCATTATTCCCCCACAAACATTTTAAACTTTCATCTGTCCAGTCACTTGATGTTAAAAACAAAATAATAATAATAAGAAAAAATCACTCAAAACAACAATCACAAAACAAAACAGTAACGTCCTAACACAAAACTGCTAGTCCGCGCCGAGAGCACGCAAGGTGCGCGATCAAAAGCGTTCGTAATTTGGAAACGGGAGCGCGACACACGTCTTGCGAACGCGCGGCGCCGATACACAATGCTGGCAGATCGAAGCGAGCCGACAATACGCGCGCGCTACAATAACCACCGCCCCCCGCCCCCCACCCCGCGCCGCACGTGCGACAAGGACGCACCGACCTAATGTCAGTGCCCTGCGAACAATGCCAACCTCCGAAGGCCTTCAAATTGCCAATCATGAATCGAACCACGAATCCTAATAACTTAAAGAGTGAAAACAACAAGTTTTTTTTTCAAAAACCAGAAACGTTTCGCTATTTTCCATTGCAACGAGCATTTTTACAATCAATTGTCTGTGCGGAATAACAGCTTTCATCCCGCGGAATCTATACAAAAGCTTGTTCAGCCCATCCTTTTCTAGCGGGCGATGCGAGCGCGGCGCTCTCTCCCTCGCGTGCGCATTCTCGGCCGCTAGGCGAGGCTATCTCGCTCTAGGCTCCGCCCAGGCGCGACTCGGCCGAGCGCACAGTGTGCGTATCGCGGTGAATAGCCGGGCCATTGTGAAACGATTTTCGCACACCACAATGCCGGCGAGGTGGGTGTGCGCTCTATGAGGGCGTTTAAAAAGTCAATACGATCTCTGTTTCCACTTACATCATCTGGAGGAGAAAAAATTTTCTTTCTTACCACACGAATCTGGCTGGGCGTTGTATTGTGTAGCGAGGCGTGGCTAAGGGAAAGCGTTCTATTGTGTGACCGGCTCCGATTGTGCGATTGGCAGTGTGTCCTATTGTTGACAGAATTTTCACACAGAACTCGTTGCGATTGTGTTTGTAACGCGACGCCGAAATTATTCCAACGTCCGGTCCGTCCTCTTTGAACTAAATTGTACGGTTGTCTCCGCGGCGGTAAAAGAAAAAAATAAATTTAAAACGTGTCTGCTGTGTGAATATTTTCGACTTATCTAATAACAAACGGGGGCTGTGAACAAAGTGATAAAAACTGCTTACCCTTTCAAGTAAACTAGGTAGGGAGGTCCATTAGGTTTATTTATTGATTAATCGGCATAGTTATGCGTTAAGGTTACCAATTAAAAGACTTTTTATCGACTTGTGGAGCTTTGATCTTAACAGTGATGAGCTGAATTGCTACCGTTTAAAAAAAAAGAAATTAATGTTTATGAGTTAATCCTATATGTTACTCCAAAACTACTTATTGTTAAGACTTTTTGTCTGTCTTCGACACAGAGTGGATTTTTGGGAGTAATGGATTTCCAATGACTTGTAATTAATACAAAACATTATTATTAACATTACAGTAGTTTTGATAAAATCTATAAAAAATAGATAAATAATCTCAAACAGTGTTCAGTAAAAGGTGTTATGTTAATGCCACGCAACTTTGATGAATATTTATGTAAGTATCGTTGGCACCAAACGCATATGGAATTCCTCATACATTTAAGAACTTGCATATCTTCGTTATCATCATGAATTCTACGGGAGTCAATTGGTACATATTTAGAATTTTATATTTATATAACATAGCGCAGAACAGACAAGATTACATTCCTCGTTTTAGATATTGTGTTATATTATTTCATGTTACATTTTGCTATATAAATGATCTTCATTTGTAAATAATAAGTTTTTTGCTGGATCTCAAACTGTTAACTTCTAATTTCTCCTAAGTCTAGTATTGACCCCACTGAATAATAAATGAACATATTGCTAGTTAAAATTTAGATAATATGAATTCAAGTTAATTATGTGATCTATTTATTTGCACCTGCAGGATTAAAATCTGATCACAGTTTTTCATTATCTATGTGTGAATAATGTGAATTTTTGTATCATATATAATGGGACGGTACCACAATTACTTTTACCAGACACAAAAAGTGATCACCAAACTGAGAGTCTACAATTTTAAATTTAAATACATGGATAAAATCAATTATGATAGCTACTAAATACTTTAACGAAATTGTTACAATACAGTAGTATTAAATCTATCAGATATCCACAATAGCGTCTTCAAACAGAGATAAAAAATCCACAGCCAAACTGAGAGTCTGGGGTTTCTAATAGAGAAACAAAACTTTTTGTGAACTAGAGATATTGATGTCGATTCTGACATGATTTTCTATTCAATTTGACAGCAGTTTATCCTTGTCATTCTCTATACAGAATGTGTCTATACAGAATGTGTGTTAAATTTAGTTTTAAGTTTAGTGAATCATGCCAGAATCGACACTACTATTAGTACCCTTAGTACGAGTATTACAATTACAAAAACTATGATAGTTTTCGTGAGCTCGCACTCGTACTAAGGCTACTGATTTTATTATTTTCGTATTTTCGTTTTAATACAAATAAACAGTGTTCAAATTCTATGATTAAATCATTTGCGTCTTCTTAAAATTTAAATATATTTGGTTACTTTTCACCAAAATGGACATAGAAACATAATTTACAATTACGAAAACTATGATAGTTTTCGTGAGCTCAAACTCGTACTAAGGGTATATGGATATGTCTTCAGTAGCGTCTTTAAGCTGAGGACAATGTGACCCACATAGGGGTGAGGCGCAGGCGTGGAAGAATGTGTGTCCCGGGGTGCAGCCACCCGCTGCCCGGGGGAGGGAGGGGGGGCATTATCTCTTGCGGGGGGTGGGGGCGCCCCCACTAGCTTTTATTAGCTCTGTTTCTTCGGAACATCGCATTTTGTGTAATCACTCGCTACACTGTTCGTAGGTATATTTATGTCTACGCTTTTGTGGATACTGTTCTTTGATATTTGTTTTTTAAGCAATTCAATGTGGATCCTTTGTTAATCAAGATATTTAGATGTTAATTAATTATTAAAGTAGGTACCTTTTTTTCTTTTCATCGTGTTTTGTTTAAGAGCATAATGTTATTTTTAACAGATTTTTTTTACGTTTGTTTTAGGTAATCAATTAAAAGAATGGTTTTTCATACTAATTTAATCTCTCTAGATTTATTGAAGGGCTCTTTTTAAATATTTAAGTTTGAATTGAAATTGATTGAGTATTATTTGGTCCTGTAGCTGTAGAAAGCCTTTTAAATTTAATTAAGCAATACTATATTATTATCTTTATTATATTGAAATTCATTAGTATCTTTCCATTCCACGGAGCTCTTTAATGTAATATTTGACACCTGTAGGTACGATATACTTGATTTTATAAGTTCCAAAGAAAACCATCAAGCAGTTGTTTTTGAATCTAGTAGTAAATCATTTTTAAAGTTAAAGTATTAAGCAACGAACAGTATTTTGATATATATTCATGTTTCAGTGGCAAAAGCGGTATCGTGCCACGCTTCAGGTAAAATTGCTGAGGGCTCGAACTCCGAACCCCTAATGAAGATTATCGGAGAGTCAACGATGCGAGTTGGGGGCAATTACTTGATTGGTATTTGGCATTTTGTTTGTATACAAAGACGTCGGGAAGGAGGGTTTAAACATGTTTGATATTTTACAAATGGCTATCTAGCTACACTGGTTTTGATAGGCACTATGAATAAGATGTTGCCTATGTTTGTTACATTAAAAGTAGGACGTGAATTGAGAAAGGATCATCTTACGTTTTGGTATCACATACTTATGTATTAAAATTAAGTGCTACTTAGGTGTATATTTGAACAGTTCCCTAATATTTTAACATAGATTGATAAAACTTTATACTTTGATTTAGATTCAGATTCATTAATGATTGTCTAATAGCACAAAAATTATAGTACAGAAGGTAATCTCATGAAGGTATGCACAAAAAATATAGAAGGTACAGAAGGTAATCTCATGTAGGTCTCATCTTCTTCACTTTTCATATTTACGCTCGGCGGTCGCGCTAGGATTGTCAACTTTGGACTGTGCACAAAAAAATTGCGGTAGTGGTACTCGTACGTGTCTAGTTGTATAATTTAATATTGAGAATGAAACAGGAAGAATGGAAATATTTAAAGCAATAATAACTAAAGTATTTAAATTTTAATATTTTTGTTATACCTATTAGGTAAGTACAAATTAAAAAAACAGCAGTTCAACTTTTACTGTTGAATTCAAACAATCGTCGACTGATTATTTGTTGCTCCATCCATATTTGCACAAAAAAGTTCCCAGACCCGTGTATCAAGCAGTTGGAACTGGCGCGCGCACTGGTCCCAAGCGGTCCGAGATATCGTGCCCGTGAGCGGTGTCTATGTGTGCATTGCTCGAGCGCTACATTGCCTTCTGTACTACCTATTTTGTACTTACAGAGTCCGAACATCAACTCAGTAAGTAATTACCTCTATTTTAGCTAAACGTGTTTAGCGTAGTCTAGTAACATTTTAAGTAACATTGAGGAGCTCGATGGCGCAAGTGGTTAGCGCGTTCGGCTGCGTTCGTTGAAGTGAAGCAACTTTCGCAGTGCTCGGTCATTGGATGGGTGACCAAAAATTTACTATCTCGAGCTCCTCCGTGCTTCGGAAGACACGTTAAGCCTAAGTTAAGCAGTCGTTAGCACCCACCAATCCGCACTGGGCCCGCGTGGTGGGTCATGGCCCAATCTCCCTATTCCATTCATAGGGAAGGCCTGCACCCTAGCAGTGGGGACATTAATAGGCTGATGATGATCATCTCGTCAGTGCTAACTAACTTAGTGCAATTAAAAACACTTTACACAACCTCAGCACACTATTTGAAAAATAAACCCAACATACCTATCTATACAAATAAACTCGCGTTAAACAGAAGAGGAAATGCCACAATGAAGCGAAAGCGGATTAGATCCGAGCCGTATCTTTAAATAGATAGTGCGGACGCGCTAAGTGACGCCAATTAGCTGTATAAAGGTGCCTCGGCTGACGGCGCGCGGTGGGCATACTGACAAACGCTAACCAGCCATTATGCAGCCAGTGGCCATTGACAAGGCCCTCTTGTACCCGGACTATAGCTATTCAACTATTAGCTATTCAGATAAATACTTTATGCGGCTAGTCTGATCAGCACAGATCGACGATATCGTGCTAATGTTCGACGAATTTGTGATACCTTTGTAGTTTTGTTGTTT